CTAAACCCATTAACTCTGGCTTAAAACCACTTTAATTCCAATCAAATCAGAATTAAAATTCACACTGTGAGGCTATGTGCATTTTACACAATGTGACAGCAGCCCACTGTGTTAAACTGTCTAGCCGTGTGTGTGTGTGTGTGTGTGTGTGTGTGTGTGTGTGTGTGTGTGTGTGTGTGTGTGTGTGTGTGTGTGTGTGTGTGTGTGTGTGTGTGTGTGTGTGTGTGTATTACATTATAATCTCTCCAGTGCTGGCTTTGCCCCTGGAGGGGGGACATTTATTACATAGTAGGCTACTCTTGATAGACACTATATAGTGTTACCAATAAAGGTATATTCCAATTAAGAGGAATAGAGGTTTGAGACTTAAGCTGTGATTATAAAAGGTATAGGGAAGCACAAAAAAAAATTAAAGGAATAATTAGAAATGTTGGGAATTATGCTTGATGGCTTTGTTTTAAACAGTTAGAGAAAAAAATCATTACCACTCCAGATCTGTGTACAACAATTGGTACAAATACAGTTTTTAAATAGACAATTGGCTACATTACTGCTTAAGTTGATGAACACTTCCTGATAATTGAATAAGGGTATTTGATAGAAACTAACATTTTTATTTTGCCGATTTTAATAAAATTCAAATTAAATTTGCGATACCTTTGGCCGAATTTGAGCGATTTTAAGTGTTAAGACAAGTGAAAATGTGTCACATTTAAGTTTAAATAATAATTTAAAGAAATGTGTTATCATATGTGCATTATGTGTTCTAAATATTTTTTGTTTGTTTTGCAGTTTTTAAAGATTTTTGATTGGTTTAATGCCAGTTGAGTAAATCAACATCTTTTTAATCCCATCAAAAGCTGCAATATCCTACTTTAAGCCTGCTTAAAAGGAGAAGTAAACATACGTTAAGTGAATGTTATTTGTTACTTTGATGGAGGGAGCGAAAACATTAGGCAGGTTAGCAAAAAGAGCATTCCCAGGTGTGACCACAGCATTCCCTCCATACACTTTAACAAACCACTTGTGTGTCAATGTGTTTTTGTGTGTGTGTGTGTGTGTGTGTGTGTGTGTGTGTGTGTGTGTGTGTGTGTGTGTGTGTGTGTGTGTGTGTGTGTGTGTGTGTGTGTGGGTGTGTGTGTGTGTGTGTGTGTGTGTGTGTGTGTGTGTGTGTGTGTGTGTGTGTGTGTGTGTGTGTGTGTGTGTGTGTGTGTATTGTACCTGTGCCATCTGTTTGGTCACATCCAACAGCTGCTCCTGTGTTTAGCCTTTAACATCAAGGCACACTCAGTATCATCTCATGCAGCACTTCCAGTCAAATATACGGTACTTTTATTAAAAATAAATATATATTATCAAAAGATACAGATTATTCAATAAATTGAAAGACGTCTTTTTTTTTAAATCATCACCCATATTTTAATTGTAAAGGTTATCAAACAGTTGCCTATTTTTACACATCCAGCAGAGGCAAAGCAACATTAGTATTCATTAGCTCATGTTTTTCGAATCTGTCTAATTCATGCATTGCCCCGACATTTATTTCACATCCTTCTCTGCCTCAGGCTGTCATCCTCCTTTCCTGTCATCCCTGAACCATCATGTTTCCTTACCAGGGGATGTATACACACACATACACACACACACACGCACGCACGCACGCACGCACGCACGCACGCACGCACGCACGCACGCACACACACACACACACACACACACACACACACACCTATACATACCACTGCGGTGCCCCAGACAGCCCTCTACAATGTGGATGCCCCAAGGGAGCTTGGTAACTTAGTCCCCTCTATCTGCCAACTGCTGTGTCACAGAGAGGCTCGCATTACACACACACACACACACACACACACACACACACACACACACACACACACACACACACACACACACACACACACACACACACACACACACACACACCCATACACATACATTATATATATGTGTGTGCACAAACAATTTCAGCAGATATAAAGCCAAGTCTCTTTCATTGCTGGCTCCAAATTGAAGCTTATAACAGAGAGAGAGAGGATTAAGAAAAGGGGGAAAACAATGAAACTGCTAATGTCCTTACATACCGACAGGAAAGCTTTAAGGCCTCACACACGTTCATTGCTACACACTGACTCACACAGCCCAAAACACACATACTTTCCAACAATAAACGCTGACAAAATTATTTCAAGGACACCGTCATTCTGTCACCCCGGATTAAGTGACTTTTTCTTCAAATATTTTCAAAATGAATGTCTGTCCAAATGAAAATCATTTTCTCACTTGTCACCTCTCTGAGTGCAAATGTGTTTAACCAAAGTCTGTGTTTGTGTGTGAATGGGTGTGCATGCTTGAGTCAGGAGTTGTTGTTATTGGCTGCAGGACTGGACTTCAGCTCCAGTTCGGCTACAAGCTAAAAACCTCAGACCCTACACACACACACACACACACACACACACACACACACACACNAAATATTGCAAGCCTTTTATTATTTTAATATTGCTGATTATGGCATACAGCTTAAGAAAACTCAAATATCCTATCTCTAAATATTAGAATATCATGATTTTCATGATATTCTAATATTTAGAGATAGGATATTTGAGTTTTCTTAAGCTGTATGCCATAATCAGCAATATTAAAATAATAAAAGGCTTGCAATATTTCAGTTGATTTGTAATGAATCCAGAATGTATGACATTTTTGTTTTTTTAATTGCATTACAGAAAATAAAGAACTTTATCACAATATTCTAATTTTCTGAGACAGTCCTGTATATGCAAAATGACTACGATAATACATTGGTTAAGAGAATGTTACATTTTTGTTGTATTCTTTTAAAACAGATGATTGATGAACTGAGATTGTAATGGCCCAGTAGTAGTGGTGAAATAAAGTTGAATAGCTGTAGAGGCTGCAGCACAAGGTAGTATAAATAGTTGCAGAGGTACTAGTCAAATAGCAGTAGTGTAATATTTGCAGCCGTAGTTATAGTATCAGGAGCAGCAGTATACTATGCAATACAAACGTACATTACCCACAGGATTACTTTGTTTGAATCACATCTATTTTTTAATATTGTAATTGAAATCCTCCTGGAGCTCCGTCAGCTCGCAGACCGGCCCCCTCTGCCGACTCAGTAGCTGAACGACTGCTCACACTGCTGATCAAATCAACATCTTTCTACTGCTGCATGTTCCCCCGCAGAGACCTGCAACACCCTCCCCCCTCTAGAAGCAGAGATTTAAAAAATACTGAAGGCAGTCGAGGTAAACTTCTATACTCTAAGAACTGTATTCTTAAACAGACCGACATCACTGCATTGGCAACATGGAGAAACATAGATCATCTTTTGGAGAGAAACGTAAAACAGTTATTCAAGTACTGCACTTATCAGTAGCTTGTACTTAAAATTCAACTTTCCAATAATACTGACGCAGTTATGTTTCTGGTTACTTTGCAGATTTAGAGTTTATATTCAAACATATAATACATTTAAATGAATATGCAACTTTGGTTAATACGTGGTCTCACTTTAAACATGTTTCCCCTCCGATTGGAGTTGTTGATACTTAATTAAGTACTTTGTGGGATTGCAAACATATCTGAATATCAGGGATGGAGATGTCCATTTATTATGTTCTGTACTAAAGGAGGCCCACAATTTACTTGAAACGTTGACTTTAATTACATGTATTATTTCAACAGACTTCACATAAGTGTATTAGGTTAGATGAAAACAAAAATGTTAAGTTTAAATAGGTCCAATTATTATTATTGCTTTCAACTAACCTAATACAGTCATTTGAAATCTGTTGACATGATACATTTAATTAAAGTCAAGGTTTCAGTTTTTTCAGTGTTTCCATTTCAGGTTGCTTTATTCTTCTACTAAATAATGCAGTGTTGACTTCCACAGAAACTTTGCAGAATTAAATATTATATTATAAAGAAATATATTAGGATGTATTATCATAGATTAAGTTACCCTGTGGTATATAAATAATAAAAATGAGCTCCACCATTGTAAACGTCAAAATGAAAGTTAGGAACACAATGCATCTCTAAATATAATCCAATAACATAAATTATACAGTAGTATTATATATTAAATAAATGGGCCATTCTGCATGATGAGAACTTTTGGTTGTCAAAGTACATTTTGGTAAGAATACTTTTTCTACTTTTAATTTGGTAAAATTTGAATGTATAACTTTTACTTACAATAAAGTGTTTTGTGTATTTAAGTAAAATATGTTTGACACATTCAGGTTAAAAAATGAATGTCTCTCTTTGTTTTGGATAACGATGTAGGTTAAAGTACAGATTCTAAATAATTCAATGCACTCGATGTGTAGAATTATTTACATTAAATATGCTCATGTTGAATCCTGAGGTATACAAATAAAATGTTCATCCCGTTTTATCCAACAGACTGGTGTTTCACCTGCAACTACAAGTTTAAGCAGTGAATGTGCAGGGTGACTTGACATACTTTATTCAACACAAATATCATTTTGTTGTGCTGGTCAAAAGGCTGATTGTACCTCCTGCTGTGACTGTTCAACAAAGCGAGCAGCAGAGCTTCAATAAAAAGATTTGAGCGGATGGATTTAAGCTGTTGCCTTCTGATTCGTCCACTCGGCTAACTTATTCCTCTAGGAGTGGGCTGAGAGGACGGCAGGAAAACTGATCCACAGAATGCTACAGCAGCCTGGCCGCTTCCTTCGAGGTATATTTGAGAGAAAGTGTGAAATGGGTCTGGATAAACAGAGTAAAGCAGGACCTGGATACTGTGCGCACCTTGGCTTCGCGTTTGGAGAGCAGAGCGTAAAATTAGCGTCCCCACAGGAAGAAAACGCACTTGTTACTTAACCTATACCGCCCTACATGTATCACGGCTGCAGGATACGGCTCATAGATGAAAACTACCCCGGTGAGAGTCGTTCTCTGTCGGACAAGGAGCCCGTCAGTCTGGGACCATGTCGGACATCTCCACGGATTTTAACAACGGCACGCAGCCGGCGGGGCGGATCACTCACCTCAACTTCCCTGCGCTGATATTCGGGATCTTGCTGATAGTGATCATCACTGGCGGAAATGTGCTTGTGTGCCTCAGCGTGTTCCTTGAAAAGGCTTTAAAAACCACAACAAACTACTTCATAGTCAGTTTGGCGTTCGCAGACCTGCTGCTGGCGGTGCTGGTTCTGCCGCTCTTCGTTTACGCAGAGGTAAGCCCCGACCTGCAGGTGGATTACCGGAGGTGCGCAGGGGGCACAAGGGGGAACGGGGTCCTTATTATCAGGATGTGTGTTGATGATATCTGGGTAGTGAGAGTCGACTGTGGTAGGGAACTTTAGACAGCCTTCACCTTAAGTGGCAAATAAATAAAGTGCAGCCCTAGTTTGTCAACCAACAGCAGCTGAGAGTTCTGCAGAATATCAGTGAAAATACAAAAGACATGCAACTAGACTAGATTAGCAAAACTACTACAAAGACCAACAAAGCAAAATGACCATGAAGAGACACCAAATGACCACTAAAACATGCAAAAGGACAACCTAGAATTGCAAAGAGACACACATAAAAACAGCAAAATGACACCAAAATCATAAAAAAAACACGTCAAATGACAACTACAAAGATGCAAACATGATGAAATATTGAACACCAAAATGTGCAAAAACTACCTCAAATAGCAGCAAAATGATGTGAAAGATACATTTAAAACCACTAGAAGCTGCAATGAGATGCAATATTATGACAAACAGCCATAATCACCACAAAGACATGCAAAATAATAACAGAAGCACTCAGAACAAAGTCACGCACAAACAACAAGACACTGACTGTTACGTTGTGTCTCTTTCAGTGTGGGTGTTTCAGTGGGCAGGGGGTCCCTTACATATGAATTACATTTACATAGAGAAGGGTCAAATCATTTCCCCAATTCTCAAGGAAACATTTGAGATGTCCTTACATTAAAAACAATCAATGCTTGGACTAATCAGGGGAAATTACTCACATAACCCTCTCTAAAGCCAGTTCATCATGGCACAAAATAGAAAAGAGCATTCACTACAGCTTCCTCCCTCACTTTCTTAAATCGGGATTAATTAAGGACAGGGAAAACGCTGCACTCTAAGTCTTTGCATTGTGTATTTACAGTACATTACTGGCACCTCAGTGGCCAGTAATGTACTTTATTTCCTAATTACAATAAACTACTGTAATCCATTTTACAGCATATAGGACACTACTGTATTACTACAAAACAGTATTTTACTGTAATTTTAATTTGTGTTGTAATGTAGCCCATTTCTACTGTCGTACTACAAAACAGTATTTTACTGTAATTCTAATGTTGCCCATTACTGTATTTTATTATATTCTACTGCAATATTACTATACTACTGTATTGATTATTTACTGCACTTCAGAATAACATTGAATTCAAATCAAAAGGTTCTTTATAAAGAATTAATTTTATTCCAAACTCACATTAAAATAGTTAACACTGTTTTCAACACAGTCACAGTTAATATATGTTCTTGAACATTTAGCATTTAGAACAGTAGGATTGCATCAAAAATATAAAAAATGAATTAACATTTTTCTTAATGCCCAGGGAGTACACAGAACAGCAATCTTCAGTTAAACTTTTTACATAAAATATATTTCAGTAAACATCTTCAAAACACTGCAGCAGCATTTTTTTTTACATTAAAATTATTTCTCAAAACTTGTATTCAACAATACAATAACAACAATAACAACAGTTATAGCTAGAGGTTGCTTATCACTGACTTGCTCAACATTCAGGTTGTTTTTTAAACATGTCCCTGTCTATCAAGCAGTAACGGCAGAAGTAGTTGCTTCTGCTAAAATTCTAAGTGAATCCTCCGATACAATGTGAAGCAAGATTGTCCCCTGATATGGCTATCAATGCTCCTTTCAGACTGGTACCATCCTCAGTTGCAAATCCCAACTCTTCTATATCCTTCAAATCAGCTAGAAGGGGAGAGAAGATTNCGAGGGAACCAGCAGCTTACTTCCTGGTTTTAGGACGCGTCACTGCACCTCTCAATATGATGCCAATATAAACAAGGTCTTCTGTCGGCTCTGTACATCAATGCCGACCTATGCTGACATGTAAGTGAAGAGTAGAAAATATAAAAGGTATTGGCTATAGGGAAAAGTCCCAGCAGTTTAGGAGAATGAAGGTTCTAATCTAATCTAATACATAGCCATTACATGTCTAATTCCTGATAATGACAGGAAGACAGAAAGCGCATTATACTAATAATAATAATACTACTCATAATAATAGCAGACATTTTTGAACAATGACCACAATATCATTATTTTCATAAACCAAATATGAACAATTGAGGAAAATGAGGAAGAACTGATGATTCAAATGTTGTAGTACAAGTAGTAATGGAGTTAGTGCATAAATTACTATTGCAACAAATGTGTTAATTTTCTTCATTATTAGTCGATTTTTTTTAATGCAGACATATGTTGCAGGGACTACTAAAATCATCATACTGGCGTGACTGTAAACATCAAGGGGTTAAATAAAAAAATTTTTTTTTTTTTAGAGGACATTTCAGAATATCGCGATATATATCGTATATCGCGATATAGTCAGTAAATATCGCGATATCATTTAGAGACCATATCGCCCAGCCCAATCCTCAATTGGCACAATTTTTGCCTTGCGATGTTGGAGAGAACATATGAGACTTGAAAGACTTAAAGTTCTTAAAAGTCCAAGGGCACTCAGGTATACCACATGAAAAGCAATGATTAGCCTCATTCCTGTGTACTTTTACATGTGTGGTGAAAGAATATTAGACAGAGGTTGAGAAACTGCATGACTTGCAGTTGTAGCTATACGTATACTGATTATTTGGCTGGGATGACTTCTGTAGGTCAAGTCACTGGATGTCTTTCAGTCGCCAACATGTGTTTTCAAGACACTGATATTAACGGGGAAAATCCTGCAGGACTCAAATGCCTCGTCCCGGTCTGCACGTTGTTTCTCTTTCAGAAACACAGAGGACTACTGTTTGTATGATGATATCACGCTGCAAACGGTGTCCACCAAAAGTCGAGTCCAGTGTCTATGGAGTGTCATTTTTATTTGTTATAGTTTGGGAAGATTGAAAATCGGTAGGGAAAGCCAGCTAAGTCGGTAGGCGGTAGGAACATGTCAAAAGCGGTAGACTACCGCCCAAATCGGTAGGGTTGGCATGTTATTAGGAGAGGCAGGATCCATGAATCATTATATTTCAAGTCATCTAGCCCTCATTAAAGTATTAAACACCACCTGCCTGTCTTCCTTAATAGCTGTGTGGCTCAGAGTCACCCCGTTGAGGCTTCCAACTTAAGTCCTCCTTAATTAGCTGTACTTGTGATCATGTTACCTTTGACAGTGGCCGCAGCCAGCTAATCTACCGAGTGTCACGGTTTTTCGGCATGTCCTCACTGGGTTTAGAAGAAGTCAGTGTGAAAGTTTACACTTTTAATGTTCTCCTGAAGAGAAGTCAGGCGAGGGCAACGTGTTCGACAGGAGGAATGTTTGTCGCAACATTGAGCTGCGCTGGTGCAAGAGGATTAAACATATTTACTCTCAGATTTAGGGCAGCTAATCGGTGTGTGTGTTTGTGTGTTTCTTTCTCTCTGTGTGTGTGTGTGTGTGTGTGTGTGTGTGTGTGTGTGTGTGTGTGTGTGTGTGTGTGTGTGTGTGTGTGTGTGTGTGTGTGTGTGTGTGTGTAGTTTCAGGGTGGAGTTTGGTCCTTGAACATGCTGGTGTGTGACAGCCTGATGACCATGGATGTGATGCTGTGCACCGCGTCCATTTTCAACCTCTGTGCCATCAGCGTGGACAGGTATGTGTGTGTCTGGTCCGATGAAGTAACCATATCTGCATTTACATGACAGAGATCTTCAGTTTGTTTAGTGGAATAAGGAAACTGCTTAGGGGATGGGGATGATTCATATGTATGCATTTAGAAAAAAGACTCAATTTGTATCCCTTAACCCAGTGGTTCCCAAACTTTTTCAGTCGGGCCCCCCTTGGGTAATTGGAAATATTTTCGGGACCCCCCAACCCGGTTCCCATCTATATTGGTAGGATTAATTGTATATTGTTGTAAAAACATTACATTTTCTCTGCTAATAATAATAAGATACAAAGATACAACTATAATTTTATATTTTATTATGGATTACACATGAACAAAAGTGCTTGTAATAGATACTGTGAATTAATTTGGCCCAATTAAAACTGGTTGGCCTTCTTCCCTGAGTAGTAGATTTTTAAATTCAAATTTCTTTAAGGAAAATATATTAATTAACTACTATTTCTACTGCAGATTGCAAACGATCACATCACTTTACCATTTCTATTCATCAATTACTTGTGTGTGCTTGCTTTCCCTTGCAGATCTTCTCAAACCGGGGCTGTTGTTTTGAGACTGCCACTCTCAGTTCATTCTCAATGTTCAGCTTTGATCTGTATTTCGTTTTGATGGCAGCAACAGCAGAAAAGCCTATCTCACACAAGTAGGATGTTGCAAAAGGCAGCATTATGCCCACAGCTCTCTGACCACTGAGATATTTTCGAGCAGTGTTTGTTTACAATTGAATAATAATAATAATAATAATAATAATAATACATTTGATTTATATAGCGCACTTTAAAAACAACGTCATCTCAAGGTGCTTCACAAAGCTAAAAGGAGAAAAATAATAAAATAAAAAAATCTTCCTGCGCCCCCCCATGCAGTACCTCCGCGACCCACCAGGGGTTTCGCCCCACAGTTTGAAAACCACTGCCTTAACCAATCAGACAACACCTTTCATGTTTTCGTGTTGTAAAGACTACAATTTAAAATCATGGAAAGCTGTAGTGAAGTGTTCACGACACTCGATCATAATGGGAGAGAAGTGTTCTGCTCCTACACTGAATTTATGTTGAGTGCTTTGAAGAAGGCGTGAGCAGTCCATTAGTTTTAATTAAAATTCACATAAACAATAAAGGTGTAGTGATGGAGGCGATTCTATCATCCATTTCTATTTTTAACAACTTAAGAGCTGCCATTTTCCGGAATCTGTAGAAGGGAGAAAACAAAATGTCCTCAAACTTTAAGAAAGGATTAATAAAACACTGCTATTAGTGATTACAACAGCTGAGTATGACATGCAGAACAAATGCTGACAATTGCCAGTTTACTGTAGCTCAAACCAGAACAAAGAATGAAGATTTAAACAAATTCAATGTGTTATATATTGGCCTTATTTTATATACAGATTTGTATAAAAACTGTTGGGAGCAGCCTGAGGTCTAATAATTGTTCCGCCAGTGGCTGCTTCAAATGTGATACTCAAAACGTGTCATCTCTTTTTAAAAGCTTCTCAGAATTATTTTTAGGAAAACGTTGTCTCTCATTTAAAAAAAGGAACCACGTTTTCAAAATGTTAAAGCAGCAACGTTCAGCTCATTGTGTTGGTTTCAGGTGACTGACTCATTTTAAAACTAGCTTGATGATATAGTGGAGCGTTTATCAGCTAAACAGACAGATACTTCACTCAGTCCTTGGAGAAGAACAAAAACAGAGATAATAGAAAGTGAACACAATCAAGAAAAACAGGTAGGAGGGAACAGGTAGGAGGGAACACACACAGACAGGAAACCAAAGACAGATCTAAACAAGACAAAACACAATGCAGACAGAAAACCAAAGACAGATCTAGACAAGACAAAACACAACACAGACAGATCGTGACAACAGGTTTACCAATCTTTCCTGATACAGAGTTGCTCATTGAGATTTGATAGCAGTAGAACAAAAAGTAATACAAACAGGGAGTGCGGACTCTGCATTGTAGTTTATTACACAATTAGTGTTTTAGCTGAGTTAGCCTCTAATTCTGAAGATAGAATAAAACTCAGCGTTTACGGATAAGCGGGAGAAGATGGGTGGATGGATGGTTTATAGAAACAAAGCAGATGGGAGCTGCAAAAGGTCTCTGCATGGCATATGGCTAATTTACATTTAACTCGTGAAAACCTGTAAAACGCAGGAATTAAAAAAAACTGCCTTGATATCTTGAGTTACAGGGATGCCCTTGTGTATCTGTTTCTTATTTCATTTTTTATGTAACTGCTTCGATAAAATGGGGACAGTATGAGTAAATTGAAGGAAATGTATTTGAAGTTCAGAATTGTTTTGACCTTTTTTGGGGGGTATCTGGTCTAAATGGTCTGTTTAGTAAGTGAGGGAAGATGTACAACATTACACATTAGAAACCCCAGGAATCATGTTATATAATAAAACAAATATTAGACCTTTGAATGGATTTGTAATCACTGTTTGACTAAGTAATTTAAAGATTGAGAAAGAAAGATTTATTAGGTGTTTAATTAGTCTTGTTTTTGACCCTTGCTCATTTGTTTCACAGGTTCATTGCCGTGTCCATCCCACTAAACTACAACCGTAAACATGTGGACCACCGTCAGATCGTGCTGCTGTCGGCCACGTGGCTGCTGGCCCTGGCTGTGGCCTCGCCCGTCATCTTTGGCATCAACAACGTACCGGACCGCGACCCTAGCGAGTGCAAACTGGAGGACAACAACTATGTGATTTACTCCTCCGTCTGCTCCTTCTTCGTCCCCTGCCCCATCATGGTCCTGCTCTACTTCGGGGTTTTCCGTGGGTTACGACACTGGGAGGTGACTCGTAAGGTCAAGCTCCGCAGCAGCATAGAGGCTTGCAGGAGACTGCAGCATGCGGCCGTGGCCACCGCCCTCCCGCCGCTCACAGGCACCATCCCCGGACCTCTGCCCATGCCTCTGCCCAGGATCATCGAGAGGGACTTGGCCCAGTCTCGGTTGGACGACACGGGCGACTTCATGCAGCAGGAGATCCCTTATCCCCGGCAGTACAGAGAGAACTCGGTGCCCACGGTGACCTACAGCCAGGTGCACCGCAAGAAGAGAGCCAAGATCAACTGCAGGGAGAGGAAAGCTATGAAGGTGCTGCCTGTCGTAGTAGGTGAGTGATCACGTTCCCCCTCTCTACCAATCAGAGGCTGTTGTGACAGCACAATCTATAAAAAACACAGCCAAAGAACCATAGCAGTGTTTTTAGTCCCTAACCTTTAATCACTACTTTCCATTAATGCCAGGTGTAGTTCAAGCTTTGTAGTACTTGTAGCGCGTTTACCAAAAAGATATGATAAGACATCATTCACCTATTCACATTAATTCATACAGAGGCTGCCTTACAAGACGCCATCTGCTTAGGGTGACTGACATTCACACCGCTACAAACGGTTGGCCATCAGGAGCAATTAGGTTAAGTGTCTTGCCTAATGCCTACAGACACATTGACATGTTGACTGCAGGGGATGGGGATTGAACCAGCGACCTTCCAATGGGTGGACTACAGGTCTACCTCCTGAACCACAGTTCACTAAAGCAATTCGTGAGCACTTCTAGGCTTAAGCTAGAATAATTAATCCAAGGCTGAACGGAAGAAAATATACATGGGTGTTTATTGGACCCTTTCGGATTGAGGGCGGGGGTGTTATGTACTTATCGAGTGAGCAGCTTCACGTCAAAGTAAACACAAATAAGGGTGAGACAATGACAAGATGATCAACCATATTAAATGCTTTTAAGGAAAATGTATTTTCTCTGCTCTGTTAGAAGAGCACTTGTGGATGACAGTAAACATAGATGGTTTCAGGATGGTTGCTCTTGAATTGCAGATACATTTCTGAGATTTAAATTACAGCTTGCATGCTGAAAATGTGCTTAAGCTGACGCTTTAGCTGCAAAATGATTTAGCAGGCAAATAAGAAAGTATTAGATGCAGATGAGATGACGTCCACCAGCGGGGAAAGAGGACCCTCAGTGTCAGTCTCAGTGGGATCCATAAATATAGATGTTTATCCGACCCGAAGTCTCAAAATAGAGTCATTATTCGTCTTCAATCTCAGTTTATATCATATTTTGAGCAGTATTCCGGACAGAAAGCAAACCAGATTCAACTTCTTTCTGATTCTTGCTTCTCCTCAATATGTCAGACGACGACATTTATGGTGTTTGTTTACTTGTAGGAGATCTTAGAAGTAGTGTTTTTTCAAGTTGAAATGTTGTTTCCTCAAGGGGCATTGTGCCTTAGATTATACCCACGTGTGTATTTTAGATATCCGCTTATTCACTGAAGCAGGAAATGAGAGGGGAATGGCTCATGACAGAAGGTGAAGTGTTTTAGTGTTGAACAGTTCAATATGTTGATTACGACCCTGTTTAAAATTGGCACTGCAGCAGCTGTTTGTAGTGCCTCTTAATCAAACAGATCAGAAAATGAACTATTAACACCTTTCCAACAGCATCTCTTCTAAGTGAATAATAATAGTTTTTCTGAAATGTTTACCTGCGGCCCGTTTTGAAAAATTTACTTTGGATAACAGAACAGTCATTTCGCTTTAGCTTGTCAACAGTTTAATTATCGTTGTGTTGCAGCTCAGGTACTGGAGGTTTATGCAAGGATAAAAGCCTCACCTCTGACTTTCCGTCTCTTAACGAGGAGCTGCCATCATAGCTTAAAGCCCTCAATCCAGTTATTATGCAGCACATTGTGTCACGCCGTGCCCACGTGCAAAAACAGGCTGAGATCTGGCATCATACATTCACTGTTTGGACAAACCACCCACCAAAGATTACTCAGGTTTATCTGAAAATATTACCCAGCACGTATTGTATATAGTATTGTACAATGTACTACTACTTCTAACTGCAGTGCTCAGCAGGTGTTCAGCCAACATTAGTTTAGTGATGTATGGCAGCACCAAACCGTCCACACTAATCTATGTCAGTAGTAAAGGGTTCAACTGAGCACAGGCTGATTATTTACAATCCCCATCTGTACATCACCATCAGTGGATTGCAGGGGTAAACATCACACAGGCATAAATAACTAACAACAACTGACAAGAATGTAGCCTTTCACTTAAATAAAAACTGTAATTTACTTTCCTATTACGATTAAGAGTGGGGCATATTTAAAGCATTGTATTGCCATATTTCGCGTGGCAATATTGTATTGATTCACCATTTTTTATTATTATATAAAACAATTATTTTGCGAATACAAATGTAACTTTTTGGTCACAATTGCTTTTTCTATCTATTAGATCAGGGGGGTCAAACTCAATTTCATCACGGGCCACATCAGCATTACGGTTGCACTCAAAGGGCCAGTTGTAACTTTAAGACTGTATAAAAATACATATATTTAAGGAGTAATATATAAACATATAATGGACTACCTTCATATTACAATTTGCCTCTGGCATTGGATATTATGTAGATGGATCAGATGGTGGATATAACTTCATCATCTAACTACGTCTGAAAGGTCGCAGAGTCTAGGCAATAATTGCAAGTCTCTTCAGTGAGAGATGTCACAAAATGATTTAAAGAAAAGCATTCTAGAAAAACAAAAAAAAGGCAAAAAATTTAACATTTTTGGGAAAAAAAGTACATTTGAAACATCACATTTAGCTTAAAAAAGGCACATTTAAGAAAAAAGACATATTTGGAAAAAAAATACAAATCTGAGAAAAACTATTGGAAAAAAAAGCTATTTTGAAGCCAAAAAAGTCAAATCTGAGAAAAAAAGGTTCAATTGAGATGCATTGTGGGACATGTAGGTTTAGGGCAACGTGCTTCGCCATGAACCGTATGACCAAATATATTATATTCTTGCAAGCTCTTATGGGGACCACATCAAATGAAGTCGCGGCCGGATTGGGCCCCGGGCCTTGAGTTTGACACCCCTGTACTTAGAATGATAATGGTGGAGTTTTTTTTGTCCGGGTGTCAAAGTCAGCGGACAGGCAGTAAAGTAGGCTTAAAAAAGGGTAAAAAAAGATAGCTAAAATACTAATATTAAAAATATACTTTTGCAAGCTCAGCAATCATCAAGTATAAATAATTTGTATCTTTGTACTTAATGTACTTAAAAAAATGGTCTCATGCTATAGGCAATTATAAAAAAAAGCTCGCCTTTTGTTCCTCTTTTTCTGTCAGATTACAAAAGATACATATTTTCTGCTTCACGAAAAGTCCCATTCTAAAGTGTATAGGAAACTCCTTGTTCACATCACATACGCTGCGTCGGACGCTGATTGTTTAACACTGTTTGTGAGTGTCATAACACCCCAAAGATAGGTCAAGGTTATACACTTAGATAAAGGTGAGCACCAGAGAAACTTCCCTCCTTACCAATTCAATGTGAACCACCACACATTCATCTGCGCGAAGCAAAACAACAAAATACTCATATTAAGAAAGGTTGGCATGACTCACAACAAACTAGGGAATAGTGAGATATTGGGACAATATTATAAAGGTATATACAAAATATACAGGAAATCATCGGGGGATAACACAAGGAGACAGATGGATGATAAACTAAAAGAAAGGGAACTGCATTTCAACCTCACTCAAATTGTCCAATTGTGTCTGGTTAGTGTAAATCTTATTGTTGTGTTAATTGTTTCCTGTCATGGTTAG